GGCTTGTGAATGCGGGGGTGAGATTAGGGCGGGAGCTTAGTTGCACTGAACATGTAATTGAGGCACACGCTGCCGCTCTGCCGGGCCCGCTGCTATGCTGCGGGGGTCACGCGCGGCGCGCAGGTGAGGACCTCGGCGGGCACTTCGGTATGAGGAGGACGCGGCCCCCGGCCCGGCCCCTCGCAATCAGTAAGCCGCCGTGGACCGCCCCTCGGGTATAGGGCACTCCACACTCCGGCCAGACCTCCGGGTATACCCTTGCCCCTGCCGCCTGTGCAAAAGAAAAAAATTACTTTAAAAAAGGCGTTTTGCCGAGATTTCTAAAAATGTCCCTGCTGTAGCACCGCAATTCTTTGTGTTGTTGGGTCGCGAGGGTACAGTGATTGTACCAAAATCTGCTTCTAGGCCTTTCAAACGATCCTGTGAGCATTACTGACACACACATACCGCTGCAACTGCGGACACGGGCTATCGGGCTTGACCAGAGCCCTACGACGTGGAGTGTTGAACGCCCCCCCCCCCTGCCTCCCCCAAACACTCACCATGAGTGGATAAAAGCACAGTTGGCAGGCATCCATCCTGCCCCGGCTTGCACTCGCACGTTCACTCGCGGTTTGTGTCCGAGGCCCACACAGTGCGCGCACTCGTCACTTCTATAAAATAGGATCACCTCGTGCCCTCCCCCCTCCCATTTTTAGCCCGCCCTTCTGCTTTTAAAAAAGCATTAAAGCGGGCGTATGCAACCGCTCTCGTGTCTGTCTGTCTGTCTGTCCGTCGTCCGTGTAAGAGGAAGGAGATGAGCTAGAGGTCTACAAATTTCAGGGTATCTTAGGGCTCACTCCTGGACAACGAAACGCCTGGTGCAAATCCTGGCAACCACCCCTAAGGGGGTGAAATGGGGTAACAAAGAAATAGGGGTTGGTCCAAAAAGTAGGAAAAAATTTTTTTTATGGTCTCCTGGGGGGTAACTCGTGATAGTAGATTCATTGGGGCGAAAAATTTGTCCGTTTGACTCTGTCTTGCACCGTTTGGGCGCTAGAGTGCTTTTTTCGACGAAAATACGGCGAAAATGACCACGTTGCACATAAAGACGTACAAGGAGGCGTCCAATCGTAAAATGTCAGAGGAAGTACCCCCCCAAAACCACACATTCTGAATCAGGAATTATTCTCGGATTTGCCGTATCTTTCACTGTTTCGGCCCTAGAGGTGGATATATTATAAACAATGGAAAAAAGTCAAGTTTTAGGACTGTTTGACAAACAATATACAACCAAAAAAACTGCGCGGGTTCGTTTTTTTTTAAATTCTTAAGCAAAGCAGAAGGGTGGGGTGTAGTCACGGTGTTGCCCCGTTACAGTCTTTTGTCATGTCCAAGGAGCAAATTTCTAGGGCCGCAGGCCCCTCGCCGGACGCTTTAGTTTACTCAAATATATAATATATATAAGTGATTTACCGGTCACATTATTTATTTGATTATGCACTTCAGTAAATCGTGGGACTGAAATGGTCGGGCCGAAGGCCCAACCATCGCCGCCGGCAGGCCAAGCAGGCCCGGCCCCTGCCGAACGGAGTTGCCGGCGAAGCGAAGTGGAGCTGACAACTCCGTTTGGCGGAAGGGCGGGCCTGCTTGTTGTGTACACTTTCGTGTGCGTAAGTTACGCGACAGAGTTGTCATTCAGTGATTTGTCGAATGCCAATAGCGTATTGCCTATTTACCTATAGGTAAGTATTTTCGCTCCTACAACCATTCGCAGCGACAACTATCGCTGCGGCCTATTTTCCGGTAAACTAATAATCTATGGAAGTTTTCAGGTGTCCCCAGGGTGCCCATTCTGCAAATTAACGGGTGCTCAGCGCCCGCCAGACGCGGGGTAGGCCACCCCGCAGTACACGCATGCCCTGCAGGTGAGATGTTGCCTACCCATCAGGCGCTAGGCGAATGCAAGCTTGCATTAGCCTGAACTTGGCAGTTTCGCAATGGCGAATGGCGGTCGTACTTTTTGGACGATACTTTAGGGGGTTGACAGAACGGGGCGTACATTCTGTGAGGGCACCTTTGTGGCCAACTCAGACCTAAAAACTCAACTGGAGGATGGGGGGCGGATGGGGTCTCCCACAGAGCCCTATAGCGAGCGAGCGTCGATGCTCGTCGGGAAAAAGTGGTGTGAGGTAGGGTAGGTAGAGGTTCTGCAAAGTCTCTCGAGCTGGGAGTATCGACGGTCTACCGGCGCGCCGGGAGTCAGCTGACCTCTCGCGTCTCTCTCGCACTCGCCGCTGCTAGCATACGTCTGTCTCTGTCGCCCAAACGAGCGTCGCCCGCTCGCCAGGAGACGAGCCGAGCTGAGCCGAGCATCTCCGGAGAGGTGGCGCGGCGTGGACCGAGCGTCGACGGCTCGCTCGCTACAGGGCTCTGGTCTCCCACGCGCTACCGCTGACAGATATGCCCACCGGTGCACGATGCACCGGTGGACAAACGTGTGGTGCATTCCGCCTGGAAGTAGCCGAGCACCATCATTTGGTGGGTCCTGGGTCCGCGGTACGGCACCCGTTGCGTAGAGCGTGCTCGCGGGCGGGCGGCGCGGGGGGAAACATAATCACCATATACCTACGCAGTCCGGTTCCGCCCGGCTTCTTCTGGATAACTCACTTGAATATGCGAATTAATTAATAACGTCGCGGAAAGTCACCACCTCCTGTCGACACTGTGAGTCACGCCCGCCCGTCCCCGGCGCACGTGCCACTGCCGGGCGGGGCCGTGCGCGGCAACATTCCGCACGAAGGGATCAAAGATTTGAATCCTCCTCCGCCCACCGCGGTAACGCGCCGCCGTGTGCGGTTCGGCCCGCCCGGGGAAACCGTCGCCCCGACCCTCCTCGACGATCCTTCCTACGTCGTCTTTTCCCCCTCGCCTTTTGGGCGCATTTCTTCGCTAGACGATGAATAAATCCGCGGAAGAGTGAGAGAGAGAGCACGAGAGAGAGTGAGCAAGAGAGAGAGGGAGGGGGGGGAGAGGAAGTTTGACGGGAGTTCATGTGCAAGTTGATGGCGGAGCCCGCCTTCATCCCTCATCCAATTTAGTGTACTTTAGCGGTGGGGACGCCCAGCCCAGCCCAGCCC